ACAAATGTTGGAGAGGCTGTGGGAAAAAGGAACCGTTCTCCACTGCTGGTGGGAATGTAGACTGGTGCAACAGTTATGGAAATCGGTATGGAGACTACTTAGATAAGTTGGACTGGAAATCCCCTTTAAATCAGCTATTCCTCTACTGAAACTTTCCCAGGGGATCTGAAAACATCATATCATAGTGATATATGTGTGCCTATGTTTATAGCCGCACAATTTGTGATAGCCAAATATTGGAAACAACCAAGATGCCCATCACCTGATGAATCGTTGAAAAAGATGTGGTATTTTTACACAATGGAGTATTATTCAGCTATTAAGAATGATAAATTCGCAGCTTTTATATTGAAGTGGATGCAACTTGAACATATACTCATAAGTGAAATAAGCCAGACACACATGTGTAAATATGTTATACTCTCCCTACGATAAGCATTCAAAAGAAGAAATACAAATAGAAACATATAATACAAGTAAAAGAAAAGCAGGATCTCAAGGACTAACTAATCAAGAGAGGGAAAGGAGAAGAGCTAGGAAACATGACAATGTCAAACCATACAGTTATATGTAGAAGATGACCAAGGCAATGATCCTGAGAATCTTCAGATTTTTTAATCTAGCAGTTAATTGGAAAGATTCTCACTGACTATCTATATATACTGATACCTGTGAACTAAGCTACTGCACTGCAGATGGTAATTTGTCATAGTAGTTTCATGCTTGGATTGCCTCTCATTCTGGTATTCTGAATATGGGCTGCTTGTAATGACATGCCAGGTGCTGCTATGATGTCTCCCTGTTAGGTGGATATTCAAGAAGAAGGAGGTAGTGAATGAAAGCAAGAGACAGGAAAAGGAATATTGTGGGACTCTCCTGCTTCAATGTTGTATATGGTGAGATTTTTGGACTTATGTGGAAACATGAGAAGTATATAATTCTTTATGCCTATTTTTAATGTATATTCTAATTTCTAAATGTTTTTCATCATATTCTTTAGGGACTTATTGTGAGATTTTTGGACTTATGTGTAAACATAAGAAGTGTATAATACTTTATGCCTATTTTTAAAATATATTCTAATTTTTAAAT